GCACATTTCCAAAGGCTCACTTACCATATATCCCCAGTCTCCATTATCCATCTGTTCAGCTGCTTGAACTGCAGTATTTCCAAGTTTAATAGAAGGCTGCTGAAAGGATACGCGATTCACCTCTTCTTATCTTCCTGCAGGAAAAGGCACAAGCAAAACCACAAAAGAACAGAACAGACCATCAGTACCTACAGGAACAAGCCAGGGGAATGCTCTCTAAGCAAGAGCAGGCTCTGCCCCCAGAGCACTCAGCTACAAAGCCACGTTAGTAGTTGAACCTGCAGATGAGCTTTTCCCTCCTTCTCCCTTCACACCACCCACCGGACTGCCTCCAGAGCACATGGGTAATCACCCCACCAGCTGTCTAACAACCCCAGTTGTGTTAAATAACAATGTGCCCCTGAGGATAAAGTACATTCCTGAACAGCCTACCTTTCACCCAGGAAAGTGCAAGTACTTTGAAAGGCAGATGTCCTTTTCCCAATTAAAAAGAAATTTAGCCACCATAGAGGTCATGTATGTGATCCATTAATATTAGTCAAAATTCCCAGGCTCCAGTTTGGAGCTGCACAGAAGGATAAATCAAGCATGCAAGTCAATGAACAGTAAAAAGAAAAACAATCATTTCACTGCAGAATTAATAATTCAGTAGTGCAGAACTTCAAGTGATAGCAAGAACATTAATCTACAGCCAAAGAGTACAAGTGGACTTCACAGATATACACACACTCTTGAAAGAAATATCTTTAGGGACAAGCCAGAGGACATGAAACATGCTTTCAGTAACGCTCCAACAAAAGCAATTTGAGAAGTGGTTCATGCCCTAACTTCCCAGAAGATGCTGAACTGCTGACTTGCATAACAAGGGGACTCCCTCCACATGAGAGCAGCAAGGGGAATCCAGAGCCTGGTTTTGCAATTTGAGGGAGGAAGCAATGACCCCAGACACCAGTGGAGATTTTCCAAAGATGGCCCATCAACCATGTCAAGCAATGCATGGACAGGGAAGCCAATCATCAGTTAAGCCCTATTCCTATCCAGAGCCTGCCTCGCTGCTAAAATGGCTAGAAATTTAGGTCAGGCTGTTTTAACTAGGGTACAGCTTCTCAGTTTGTTTATTTTTACATCGTCAAGACCACACAGCTACCAAGACTTCTGCTCCCATCCTCTTTAGCAGCAAACTTCAATACACAGTCACCCAGCTAAAAGCAACACAATGATTTAACCAGGTCAGAGCCCTACATTCCAAAACAACTGAAGGTTCACACTTAATCCCCAACCAAAAAGATTACTTGCCCTTTTCATTCCTAGTAAACGAGGCCCGTCTCGTTCACCCCAGCACAGGGGAGCACATCCCACCTCTCTGGGCTCTGCTACCCTGCCCAAACCCACAGCCTGGGCATGACAGCAGCCAGCAGATCAGGCCTTCAGGGGCCTGCAGCATGAGAACAGCCTCAGCTGCATCTCAGATGTATTAAAGAGTAGAAAAAACAAAATCAGGATACGAAAATCATGAGATCAGACAACAGAAGATTCAGGAATACTAAGATACAGAACTAGTCATACCAGGATCCTATTTTTACAAATTAAAGACAGAGCATGCCTCAAGAAAGTACATTAAAGCACACACCCCCCGACAGCAGATAAACCTGGTGTGCCAGCTCTTTTGCCAACCTCTATAATTATTCTTTTTACCCGCCCACAAATCAAGAAGTGAATTCATCCAGGTTTTCTCTATTTGGAATTCTCATTCAACTACAGCTCATCACCTTTTACCAACAGCCCAGACCTTTTAAATTCCAGCATTTACAGGTGTTATTCTGGTCAAGTACAACACCAGTATAACATCAGATGCATTAAAATCACAAGAGAAACTGGTACAGGTTTCAGATGTTCAAGGAGAGCATTCACTTTAAAGTGAAATGGTGCAGCCAGACAGAAACTTCATTGGCAATCATGACAGAAGAGATCTGCAATTAACAAAATCAACTGGAATTATGCATTCAGCATATTTCAAACACAGACAGATGTCCATCAGAGTTATTTAAACTGATGGTGGAGAGATACTGTGTTATTTGGTCAGCACCTAAGCCCACACTATGGATGAACCAAGAGTTCCTTTAATCAGTGAAAGAAGCAGATGACACTGCCTGTCTGTACAAGGGCAGGAGCTAATCTTTGATCACAGCCCTGCTACGCAACACCAGAGTGAATAATTGAGGAGAGCGATTAGCTGAAACAAGCCCAGCCCTCAACATGTAAGTGCACTGAAATGTCTCACTGACCTTTGTGAAAGGACCCAGCACCACTGGGCACACACAAACCTCCCCAGCAATGCCAGTGCTGGAGCAAGATGCACAACACAGGGATGGTACCAGGAGGCCATCTTCAAATGTCTGTGTGATCACAACTACTCACTGCTTCCCTCATCAACCTGAGAGCTCTGGATTTATACACAACTGCCCAGGCAAAAATAGGTCTGTTCAGGTACCAACCTGAGGTAAGGACTAGCAAAACCACAACCAAGGTGGGGACATAGGCCCTTCATGACATGCATCTTTTCAGCAATGCTTCAAATTCCTCCTGAATGAAATAGTGATGGCTCAGTGGGTTGGGCAGATACCCACTCCATCCATACCCCAGGATGGGCAGCCTCAAGCCAGCTCTGGTCCCTGTGCCACACAGCAACATAGGGCACGCAGGGACAGTCTCACTAATGTGGCTACTCGGGTCCAGACAGCAGATGACAGGTGACCCCCAGCCATATCCTGCCTTTAATCACCAGAAGAAATATTCCATTCAGATGAAATTCTGCCAGGCAAAGTGCTGACACCATTTAGGCCAAACAGGATGTCATTTTTTGGCAAGAGCAGAAGTGCACTGACTGTGTCAACCCACAGTCCTGCTTTTGTTAAGCTGCTCCTGTGAGCAGGGAGAAGATACACAGCATTAACATGAGCCTCACAGCTGCTGCCATAGCCCAGCACCAAGCACATCCAAAACTAAGATGAGAAGCAAGTACCTTTGAAGAAAAGCACTCAAGTAATCATTTTATACTTCACACACCAAATGGGATACCTGCCTTTATAAAACGCTCCCTCTTATTTCATCTGTTATGACTCAGAGTATTCCAAGGCTATTTACCAACACCCCTGCAACAGGCAGTCCCAGTGACTTCAGCAGGGCTTCTCCCAGAGCAGAGCTGCTCACCCGCAACCATTTTGACAGCACAGATGCAGAGAAAGAAAATCGGAATCAGCTGAACAACTGCACCTGTGAAGATACACACATAGATGGGCTCAGGACAGGCCCAGGGCTGCCAGCAGGGACCACGTGCACTGCATTTGGGGAAGGCCAGAGGCCACACACTGCACCTGGACAAAACTGCACTGGGGCCATAGACAGTTACTTGAAGAAGGAGCAGAAACACACCTAACAGTTAGAAGTCCTGAGGCACACACTACGTGATTTGCTCTGAATTGTTTTCATTCTAGTTTTTCCAATAAAAGAATTAAAGGATTTACTTGCAGCACCAGCCTTTCATGGACAGTTGGGTATCAACATCACAACGCAAGTTGTTTAACCTCCACACAAACTGTTTAACTTCAGTGGTTACCTTGGATTTCTAGGTCAATACAGAGTTGACAGGAATTCTACAAACTTAAAAGCTAAAAAGAGCAAAACTAGAACTCTACTTACACTGATAAACACACTTACTATTTCAAGCTACTCACCCACTTAGTGAGCTCCGTGCCTCTACCACTTAGATCTCCAGAGATGAGAATAAGAAACTCCTGCCCTCAGCAGAGTCATACTCTGCATGAACAACCTCTCTATTCCCCAACAAGTTGCCACATTTGAAAGGCAAGTTTTTATTACGATCATGATTGGTGACCCACCTAAACTGACAAAAACCAACCACACACCAGTGATGGGTGTAACTCCACCAAACTGCAGAGCAAATCCACGAGGATCCAGAACTGTGCAACCCTAACCAAGAGAGCAAGGAAGAGGCAAGCTCTTAAAACAACCAGTTACTGAATCTGCTGGTAATTCATCAGATCAGCTTCACTAAAGAAAATACCTTCTACACGTCAAGTTTATAATGACTAACATAGTTTATTAAAATTTAACTTAATGCTTGCTTCACTTTAGTTGCTTTTTACTCATATTTTGTCTTCACCTCGGGCAGCAGGGAAAAACACTCACAGTAGCCACGCAGCATTTTCTCTCCTTTGTGTCTAATTGCTTCACCATAAATTCCAAGCTCCTGAAGTTTCCTTCCCTCCCCTGAGGAGCTCTACACCATCCTGGTTTAATTCCAGGTTCCAAACTTTTATTTTAACTGCCACTTGTTCGAAACGATCATCATGATGCTACTTTGGCCATCCCCTCCTGAGAGCCCAGACACCTGCACCCAGCCTGGTCCAGCTGAAGGAGCCCCAGGCACCCAGGCTTTCTGCACCCATGGCAACAGTTGAGTTTCACCCATGTACGTTGCTTCTGTGAAACTAACTAGTAGTTGTTTGTGAGTGGAAACGCATCTCCAACCAATTCCGGAGGAAGGCAGGTGTCAGAAACACAGCCTCCCAGGCTTTCTGCACCCATGGCAACAGTTGAGTTTCACCCATGTACGTTGCTTCTGTGAAACTAACTAGTAGTTGTTTGTGAGTGGAAACGCATCTCCAACCAATTCCGGAGGAAGGCAGGTGTCAGAAACACTGAGCCTCCCTGCACACACCAAGGACCAGGAGAGGGGCAGAAATCCTTCCTGCAAGCTCCAGCCAGAGAAGGGCCCGGGCCTACAGCAGGAGGTGGGAACCGCTGGTTTCCATCACGGAAGAGCCAGAGAGCTCAGGGTGGAAGAATTCTCCCCAGGATCACAATGATTCAGCAAAGATACTGGAAACGAACCCAGACATTTTGCCTCCCCCCCCATTAAGTGTGACCCAAGAGCCCAGACCCTCATTCCAACCCAACCCGGTGTCCCTGCTCCGCCT